GCAGGCACATGCACAATCTTTAAAAAGGCGTAGCAGAGAGACTTGAAATGAGGATTTTATACTATGTTGAACTTCAACATCTAAATATTTATGCATTGGAATTTCTTGTTTTCGGGTTGTAGGAGAACTGCTCCACCGTTGTCATTCCCCATTTTCATCAGGATTTTCTTGCTCTCCCTTTGCGGGTACGTTATATTTTCTTTAATCTTGTGTACCGGACACCATACAAGATTTTATTCAATACTTTCATACGAGTTTTTCCAACACTCCTATAAAGGCATAAAGTTTCTTCAGTTAATCATGAAGATTTTGGTTGGTTTAATTTCAGGATAACTACGAGCTTGGATATTTTTGGTGTTGCCTTGACATATACAACGGCATCTTTGGCTGCTGCGACATCCAACTCACTTCCAGTTATTACTTTCTTCCTCGCAGTTTTATTCAGGTAATCAAGTTTATTCATTCGATCCAATTTCTTTTGTTTCTTTCCAATTTCTCATTGCTTCTTTTTTTTTTTAGTTTAGATTTTCTAAATCCGTGTATAAACCATTTCATAAATTGGTAGTAATTATATAATTATATAAGATTTTAGTTAGTATCTCTGTTTACTTTAATACTATTTAATATTATCCTATGCATATGACGGAAGAAAATTAATCAGATTAGGGCCATATTCAGTAATACAATAGACAAGATTTCAATTATTTTAAAGCCTCAATATTTACAAGAAATAATTGGAGGCTTTTGTGTCTTTTTACAGTAAGTTGTAATTAATAAAAAAGAGGAAATTACTTGAAATGTCCATTTTTACATTTGCATTTGCAAAAATGTCCACTTTCACAAATCCTTGAAAAATGTCCATTTTGGAATGTTTTGGATCAAAATACCCCAGTGAACAATTTATGATTTCACACAAAGACACGAAATGGACATTTTTGCAAAAAAATTATTGTCCAATAAATTTTTGACACAACCTGCCATATTTATTTCAAAAGTGCATATGTCAAATCATAATTCATGATATTTTTCTCATTAACAAAGAAACGTCGAAAATTACATTTCAAGTGTCGAGAAATGTCATGTTCGGAATGAAATGTCATTCTAGATATTTAAAATATCGATAACAACATTTGAAATGTTGGTAACATTTAATATTGTGATTTGATATGTATACTTTTAAAATATAAACGGGATTTAAATATCGAGAATGACACTTGAAATGTCGATAACATCATTTTAATGTAGCTTCTCAGGGAAGCTACTTCTCGAAATCCGCAATAAATTGAAAAAATAAATTGCATCTTTTTTCATTAAGGGCATAATAGACAATTTAGTGTTAAATTTAAAAATTGGACATTTTTCAATTTACACCCATGAAATTAGATATTTTTGAAAATACCTCTTAATAAAAAGGGCAAATATTGATTTTTGAAAACCTGGATATTATTTAACAGGATGGAAAAAGTGAAGCTGAGGACCAGCCCAGGAATTATGAAAGTTTCAGGAGTAGCACTATGTTTGGCAGGAGCAGCAACAATTGCCTTGTACAGGGGCCCTTTCTTTAAACTTTTGTTACATCATCACCTAATTAAAAGCCACCACCAACAACTTGAAGGCCATGCAATTCCTTCTACCCAAACGTGGATTAAGGGCGTCTTGCTTATGCTGCTTTCCAACATAACTTGGGCGTTGTGGCTTGTATTACAGGTAGAGTCTTCAACTAAAGTCGAAGGGTTTAATAGGTTTGTTAGTTTGGAGTAGACTAAAGTGTGCACATGACAACTGATAACGTTATTCTCGAAAACTAATCATTTTATCATATGTTATAGTTTTATGGTCAATTAAACTTGACAACTTAATTGTGAGCCGTACATAGAATTATCGTTCTAATGAATGTCAAATAACATAATTTACTTAGTATTAACCTTCTTTATCTTCTACAAAATCCAGATAGAAAATGTCAAAACTTTTATGACGAAAAAAATTTTAGGTTAAGATTCAAGACCCTAAGAAGACATTGCATTTTGTCATAAATGTCACCTTAAACATTGCATTAATGTTCCTTGTATGAATTCAATGAAATTTTTAATTAGTTTATACTTGACTCATTATTTTTGGAAGAATAACGTTATTTGCAGTCACTCACTACTGCAATTATCTTACATGGCATACATTTAGCGGTTAGTGATTTGTCGTATAAGGTAATAAAAACAACTACGTTAATATATCAAATCACTAACTGTCACACATATATCATATAGAACGACTACGGCAGCGAACGACTACAAATAATATTACTCTTTTTGGAACTTCTTGTTATTTACTGACCTTATGTCTCGTAATTAGTCTCCAATATTACTCGACAGAAAGCACCTTACTAACCCTACAACCATTCTAGGTATCTAAAGTCCTCCCAATCTCTTTGGTTGAATTATTTCTTTCCACTGAAAAATTTGCAAAGTTTATCTGCTTTTAGGATGATTAATTTCTCTTTTGAGCTCCATTTTTTTTTGTTCTTTTTGATCATGGAATTATAGGGCCGAGTATTGAAAAGCTACCCTTCAAAGTTCCTCTTAATAGCCCTACAGTGCTTTTTGAGCACTATACAATCATTCCTTGTTGCTGTTGCTTTTGTAAGAGATCCTGATGAATGGAAACTTGGGTGGGATGTAAAACTATTATCAATAGCCTATTGTGTAAGTAAAACATTATGTATTTTATTTTCGTGATTTACTTAAACCGATAGCAAATATTAACTTTGTAGATTTCATGTGACTAAACCTAGTTGAGACGTACCACACACAGTTTTCAATGACTAATTTGTATTTCAGAAAAAATATAACTTTATTTTAATGGATAAGTTTTCGAAGTTGAATCTACGGAATTATCTCGTTGAAAAGTTGAAGTTGTTAATAGAAGATAGATTTATTTATTTAAATTGTGCTTTCAACAAGTCGCTCGTGCTTATATTGTATTAATTTTATCAAAACACATGATGCATGCATACTTTTGATAAATGGGTAATGGAAGACTTGAACCCAGGACCGCATGATTGACCAATGCATCAGCCATCGAGATGAGATTTGGTATTCAAAATTGGCTATCAAATTTGCTGTACATCCAATGATTCGTTGTAAATTAACATGTCTAACTGTTCTCACTGTCACTTATACTTAAAAAGTTATGTGTCAATAAATTATTAGATGGACAGCAAGTTTGACAGTCAATTTTGAACAACAGATCTCAACTCTCGGCCACTCTATTGCCTTCCCTACGAAGTTTTAATAGTAATCTCGGACATGTAGTGAGGGCAGTTTGCCCATTGGGATCGAACCTTCCACGGCACGTTCATTGTTTCACAACTCAACAGCTGCACATAGACCAAGTTATTTTTTAACCATACGTGTTTCCAGACCCTGCTCCATGCATTGCTTATAGCATGTGTAACCGCCAGTACATCAACTTCAAAGGACCAGCAAATAAATATCTCTCTTTTTTACGCCATGAAATAGTAAAATAACTAGTCATTGAAATTGAGGGAATATTAATTTAAAATTGTAAGACTTCACTTGTGCTTTTTACTCAAATTCTTGACAGGGAATAGTGGTGTCTGGTATTGCATTTTATTTGCAATCATGGGTCATTGAAAAGAAGGGTCCTGTCTACCTCGCCATGACAACTCCATTGATTCTGATATTCACAACTGCTGCATCCACATTACTCTTTGGGGAGATAATTAGTCTTGGAAGGTACATTGTTATCTACCCTAGTTAGCTTTAATTAACCAAATATTATTTTCCTCCAATTAAGGCTGTTCACCATATCTTTACAAACTGTGGGTAAGTAACTTAAAAACTTCAATGCATAGAAACACGTGCACACACAACCTCCAATCACTTGAAAACCGAAAGAGATGTTTGATCATACTTAAAAGCAGTTTTGAATTTCTTTAAAAGCAAGCTTGAAAGTTAAGCAAGGCGAAATATGTTATATAACTATAATCCAGCGTTCTAAAAAGCGGCATCTTGGTGCGAAGTGGGAGCAAAACGCCCTATCTCGTGCTTTCTCACGCCTTCTTTTTGCTTTTTTTTTTTTTCAAAAAAAAATTTCTTGCGTAGGCTTGCTGTTTTTTCACTTTTTTCTTTATTGTTAAATAATTTTTAGATTTATTTAAAAATTTAAAGTACTATTAAAATAAGAAAAAAAAAATTTTTTTTTTTTTTAAAAAACATTTAAATTTTTAAAAAAAATAAAAAATTTATTAAAAAAAAAAAAAAATTTTTTTTTTTTTTTTTTTATCCCTAGGCCGAAGCATGGCCTCCCCACTTCGCCATGCTTTACGCTTTTCAGAACACTACTATAATCTATTCTTGAATTTGTATAAAGCCGTTATTAATTTCTTTTATTGTTGCCTTACTTTTGCGTGGCTTGTACTTACATAATGTATATACATACTTACAATTTTTGTTTGCATTTCTAGTGTCGTGGGAGCACTTTTGCTAGTTGGAGGACTTTATTATGTGCTATGGGGGAAGACGAAAGAGGAAGAAAGGGAGAAGGCAATTTGTGCAGCAATAATTGATGCTGAGAAAGCCAACGGAGGATCAAAGGAAGATACCACAACATAAGTAAACATATAGATTCAAATACACACTTATATACACGTGTGTGTGGGAGGGTAGTTTAAAATTCTTGTTTTGCCTCCACATTCAAGTGCTATGCTTCTCAATGGGCACTTACGAGTAAAAATTTAGAAGGAAGATGCTGATTTATTTTAAGTTTTGCTACACATGAAGGATAATACAATGCAATCTACCTCACTACGTTCATTAACTGAACTGAATTAAACATTGAGGTTTGAGGATACGAAATAGTTTTTACTGAGAGTTGTGGCCTCTGCCTACAGCCTAACTATGTTTATTAATAAGAGGCAAACAAATATGATGATAAAAAAATATATTTATATATCCATTAAAAATTTTCATATTTGTCTATTTTATATGGACAACTCATTGAAATAGTAAAAGTATAGAGAAGATAACATGTGAAGTTAATGTATTTTTCAAGGGATAATTATAATAGCGGTCCTTAACCTTTTAATTTTTTGTAGATTTTACCCTTACGTTCATTTTGTACCACACAATTCCAAATCTTTCAAGAACTCGCACCTGGGGCCCAAATGATTGGAAAACATCCATCTTACCATTAGTTGACCAATAATGTCAAGCTTTGATCAATTTTGACCAAATTTAAGAGGGCAAAATAGTAATTATACAATTTTCTCACATTAAATAATTAAATAAAAATTAAGAAAAAAATCAACATCTCCCACAATTATACTCTTCCATACTCTGTCCAAACCCACGCCTACCCTAAAACCAAAATCACTGTCAACATAGTAGTCCACCACCGTTGCCACCACCATCAAACCCATGGCCACCATATTCTTCACTGCCAAATGGATACCAAATGAAAAATCACATTCGAACCCAAAAATTTATATCTCATACACTTCAATCGTTGTTGCTCTCTCCAAAATCGAACCTAAAATCACTGCTCCTTCCCCATCTAGTTGCTACTCTCCATCATGCCGTTGGTCGAAAATCACCCCATTTGAAACTTTCAAATCAGGAAGTGTGATGGAAACCTTTGGGCAATACCTCTCGTCGACTACGACCAACTCAAAATTCAATGTGCCCACCAAAGCTTCCTCTTCCTCAATAACATCAATCCCGCTCTCGAGATCCCCATGGCCTCTCCTCATCCTTAACCAACACTGCAATTTCCTCCGTTTTAAAGTAATTTGGGGTTTTCATTTACTTTGTTAATGTGGTAAAGGGGTTGATGGTATAATTGTGGTGGTAGGTGGAGTTGGCGATGCCGGTGGAGTTGGTGCGGTAGAAAATCGAATTTGATTTGTATTGTTAATGTGGTTAATGGAACCACTATGAGACGACACTAGTGATGGTGGCTGGATGGTGTGTGTATGTATATATCATTTTACCCTTTTTAATTTGGTCAAAATTGATCAAAATTTGACCTTTTTGGTCAACTAACAGATGGATGGTTTTCATCCATTTGGATCATAGGTGCATGTTTTTGAAATGTTTAGGACTGTGGAAGGTAAAAAGTGGAGGTTAGGGTAAAGTTTAAAAAAAAAAAAAGTGAAAGGTAAGGAATCTCTGCTGCAATTTTCCTTTTTTTTTTTTTTTTTTTTTTTTTTTTATGGAAATCACTCTCAAATTTAACTCCAACACAAGAAACCAAAAAACTACTTTTAAAACTCTAATACAGTATAATATCACAGTTATAAGAAACAAATTAACAAACAATAAAACAAAAAGATAACACCCACGCACCATTATTCTATTCCATGCCTAACCCAACTTCACCCCCAAAATCTGTGAAAAAAGAATATTTTTTTTGGAAGAAAATGGCTTCATGAAACAGAAATTTCCGAGCAGCGAATATCGAAATTTATCCATCAGACTATGCTGAAAACAAACAAAAATTGTAAAATCTTATTCTATTAGGGCGTAGGCTTGCTTTGTAACAAATTGATTCACAGTTGAAGAAATTTTTTATGATTTATAGGGGATGAATTCCATTAATTTTTCTAGGTTTGGATAAATTAATAAGAGTCTCTAAGGGTTGACGATGACGTGCTCAAATTTTCTCATTATATAAAATTACTTGTTGAAACTAATTGATGTTTAGACCCGACGACACCTAAAAGGGGGTGAAGATGTATAATTGCAGAATTATAATAACAATCAATAAAGCACTAATTATTATTTCTAAATGATTAAGTTTAATCAATATTAAACCCTAATTGATCAATCAATCATATAGATCAAAGCAGGAAAAGTAAAATCAACATCAAATATTGTAATGAAGGAAAACCCTTTGAAGAACTCTTCTCCTGGATAAAAAATCTCCGGGCAAACCTTGCCAAAACAATCCACTAGAAAATATAACTTACAATTTGTCCAAATACAACTAAATTTTAGTAAACTCTTACCACCCAACCTGCAAATCACCGAAGAACCTCTTCGATCGTGCCTCCAGCACTTTCCAGAACTCGGGACTTCTTTTCCTCTACGTGGATCACCAAGAACAAACCTTGTTTTCTCCAATTGGAACTCCAATTGCCTATACCGAATTTCAGAACTCTGAAGGATTATTAGGCCAGTTTGGCATAGTTTTTGCTTTTACTTTTACTTCTTATAAAAGAGCTGTTAGAAGATGCTATTTTAATTTTGTTTGAAAACTAATATTTAACAGTATTTTCTATTCTAAAAGTGCTTTTAGAGGAAGTCATATTGAACCAACTTCGTCTAAAAGCTCTTCTAACTACCAAAAGTACTTTAACAAAATTAACCAAATGGTTCAAAGCAGCTTTTGAACCTCAAAAGCTCATTTTGACTTTTCAAAAGTCATGTCTGTAAGGATTTTTTAATCAATAGATGGACTTACATGTGTAAATAATTGTGTGTTAAATTATAAGCTATCGAATTCGGTTGAGCCCAATTAAAGTGATTTAATAAGGTTTCGATTTTGGGTTTTAATGTATCCAATTAAAGTGTGGGTTTACATATGTGTAGAGACCGGGCCAAAGTCCTAATTCTATGATGGGTCGAATTAGGTCAAAAGGCGTCGCTATATAAATAGGTTATGGTCCCCAAATCACACGCACATATTATTCATTCTCTTCTGCATTCTATCACAGAAAGGAAAAGGAGACTGCGTGTAGATTTGGAAGACTATACTATGAAATTCATTATTGCATTAATCATGTCTGACTCAGGTACGCTTCCGCTTTAATTCTTCAATTTCTTGATGATTTAATATGAAAGATCCGGTGATTTAAAGCATTAAATTATCCAACAAGTGGTATCAGAGCCTTTTCATGTTGAATCATTGAGAATCGAATAATTTAATTTGGTTCTTGCCATATTTTATAAAGTTTTCAGATTTAATGATTTAGGATTTATATTTTGTTGAATTTGAAAACTTTTGCAGTGTAATTTTTGTTATTTTCGTAATTCGGATTAATGGTTGAGAAAATTCAGATTTGGAATTTTATGGATTTTGAAACCAGAGTCAGATTCAGTTTTTAAAAAAAAAATTTAGGGCTGCTGCAGGGGCTGCATATGGCACCGGCGTGGGCCAGCGCCATTGGTTCAAGCGGCGCCGCCAAGGAGGAAAGATTAAAAAAAAAAATTAAGGTTTGCAGTTTTTGGGTTGATTTTGGGGGCGGGGGCCTCTTCTGTAAATTAGATGATTTGAGGTCTCTGGATGCAATTAGGGTTAGGGTTATAAAATTAAAGTTTCAGTCCCTAACCTTTAAGTTGTATTTATATTTGGGCCTTTAAGTTTTGAATTTAATAATTCAGTCCCTAAGGTTTAAAAATTAATTAATTCAGGCTATTAAAGTTCTGAATTTATAATTAAAGCCCTCAAACCTTAATTACTAGTTCAAATTGGCCCCCTAAGTTCATAATTAATTCAAATCGACCCCTAAAGTTTCAAATTTTTTTAAAATTTGATCCCTAAAGTTTTGAATTGGTCAATTTTGGCCCCTAAAGTTTTAAAATTTGTTCTAATTGATCCTCTAAAGTTTTGAATTAATTAATTATGGTCCCTAAAGTTTCAAGTTTATTAATTTCAACCCCTAAAGTTTGGAATTAAGTAATTTAGCCCCCTTAAAGTTTTGAATTATTAATCCTAAGGCCCCTAAAGTTTAAAACTAATCAAAATATGCAAAATTGGTGATTCTCTTTCTCAAATTTTGGTACTAAGGACTCCTTTTAGAGATATAATATTCGAAAGTTGGTTAATTGAAGTAACATGTTGCCAAAGCAACCTCTCTTGTGAAAATTGACTAACTTAGAATATTAAAAAGTGTTTGTGCATGTGTTACTCATGGAAATATTAGTCAGCCCAAATGAAGGTCAATATTTAGCCGAATACACATGCACCTGTGATGATAAACGTGTGACGATTATTTGGTTTAATATGTGATCAATAAATCGATCCAAAGAAAGGTTTGTTGATTGACACGTTGTTTTATCGTCAATGTTTGATCACTAAGCCAAGAGTACCGCTTACAAATCAATATCTCTATCCAAAGACTAGATATTGATATTGTGCTTGGTATCTTGTGATGGGCCCTACCACTATTTGAGATTATTACTATTTGCATATTAAAGATATTCATGTGAGTTATTCATAATAATCGTTCTCTAATTCAGTTTCAGATTCTGCTACTAATATCTCTGCTAGCATCAATTCAATTCCAATGCTAGATGGCACAAACTTCAGGGCGTGGCAAGAGAATGTGATGATTGTTCTCGGAGTCATGGACCTGGACCTTGCTTTACGGGTTGATCAACCTGCTGCACTTACTAATAAGAGTACCTCTGATGACAAGAGGAGATGGAAAAGTGGGAACGATCGAACCGCATAAGCTTAATGGTCATGAAGCGTGCTATTCCAAAAGCATTTCGGGGCACTATGTTCGATAAGATGACTACGGCTAAAGGTTTCCTTGAGGATCTTGAGAAGAGGTTTGCCAAGAATGAAAAGGCTGAAACAAGTACACGTTTGGCAAACCTTGTCTCAATGAGATATAAAGGGAAAGGAAACATTCGGGAGTACATTATGGAAATGTCTCACATTGCTTCAAAATTAAAGCCATTCAAGTTGGATTTATCTGAAGACTTGTTGGTGCACTTGGTTCTGATATCCCTTCCGGCACATTTTAGTCAATTCAAGGTGACCTACAACTGTCAAAAGGACTCATGGTCCCTTAA